ACCTCTCAACTCATAATGATCAAGCACTGCCCGACAAGAGAGGACCTCTCCCTCGGCTGCAAGGAACAGTACTACACTCTCTACTCTCATGGATCCCGGGAATTAAAACCATTTGCAAACATTTTGAAACCATACTTAAATATATATCATATATATAAATTTTGCAAAAGCAAAATTCTAACGATTGAAATAAACTGCCGGCAGTTTGGTTTCCTTGGGTCTTACCCTGGTGGCCGAGACAGACCATCCCAACACTTGGCAGCACACCAGTATCAGCCTTGGTAGGATAAATCTCCCCAGACTTATCCAATGGCTGTGAACATTTAAAACTAACACAAACCGAAAAAATATACTTTATTTATTTATAGTAAATGTCAAAAATACATCAAATCAGATTGAAACTAAGGACATACAATACTCTCTAACAATCTCAACTCTCAAGTATTGAACTACCATTTGTCTCAACTCTCAAGTACGGAACTACCATTTGGACAACAGTTCGAGCCGAAGTCATAACTCATAAAAAAGCAATACGAAGCTCCCTCGGAGCATCGTAATACTGGACCACTGTAATTGCCGCTAGCATCATAAAATGTCCAATTAATCAGGCTGGACGTTGACCTTGGGTGCAGCCGTGCGGCTACGCTAACAGAAATCTACAGCTAGAGGTCAATTGATCAAATAAAGCCCGTACCAAGTAAGTGATCTCCGATTAGCCATCAACTTTTAGAACTACCTGCACAAGACAACGCCATCCAAACGAGAAATATTTCATCCCTGTTTCGAATCTCCTATTCATATGTTCAGTTAGTAACGCCTTGAGCAGAGATATGGAAAACCAATACAGCTAAAATTTTCAGGCCATGGACACGTAACAGAGGTGGCTCGGTGTTGGTTGCAAATTCAACCAACGCGGTTGACTAAATCGACGAACCGGAGGCGCTAATGCCCTCCTCAGAATCTCTCGGTCAGCACAGCAGCGACACCTTCTCATCTTCTCCCCAGCTACTGCGAACTTTATGATGACTACACTAGAAGGAGCCAGCATGATTGGACCGTGGATGGTGAGCATGTGCATATGGGCCGTGGTCGAAGAGGAGAGGGTTTTTCTGCCGCTGATTTGGAACGCTTCAATGAGGTAGACAACACTTCGACCTGCCCTCTTCCGAATCTCTGTAGCCCTCCACCTTCTGCAGAGGAAATTACGGAGAAATTTGGCCTTAAATCCGGTCTCTGGAAGGTATTAATTCAGGGTTGTGTTTAAATTAAAATTTCTAGTTTCAATAATACAGAGAGAAGTCGTAACCTCATATGATAAGTCAACATGCCTAGGGGAATCAATGAGGTTTATAAGATACTCATTCCCTTGTCTTTTCACCCTTGTAGTTCTTTATAGATTCATCATTCATCAAATAATACAGAGAAATACTAGTAGTTCTTTATTGATGAAGCAGAGCGTATCATCAATCATCAAATAATGATACGCTCTGCTTCATCTTTGCGTGTATATGTCATCCGAACATCTCCTGCAACTTCCTGAGCAATGATACTAGCTACAACCACAAGTGAATAGGTGAGTGTAAACTTCCCATGATCAACACGAGCAATCACAAGCGCATTAGGGATGGTGTGTTTCGGCCTTTCAGGTCCATAATCCTGTGAAGCTCCTGTACTGTAAACTTCACCATCTTGATGGATTTTTGTTATCACCCTTTGAAGAATCTGGAAGGAGGACTAGATTTGCTCCTCGGAACGATTACACCTAGACGACCATAGGTAAGAGAGAGAAAAATAGAGAGAGGTAATAGAGAAGACAGGAAGGGGATGAGGGAGGGGGTGATATTAGGTTTTAAAAGAATTTTAAACAGTCACATGGTCTCACGTGTATGTGAGTTTTGACGGAAATTAATAGGGTAGAGTTAATCAATTGTCAAAAATAGTAAAGTTAGTGTTAGTCAATTTTCAAACAGCAAGAATACACTTATCAATTAACTAAACCATAAGGGTAATTTAAAAAAGGGCAAATTTTTTAAATTACCCTTATGATTTAGCTAATTGATTAAGTATACCAATATTGTCTAATGCTACCTCTACTGTTTTGAAAAATTAATATTACTGTGGCAAGGCTGAAATACCCGTTTAGCCCTTACATGAGAGCTCATTTCTTCTTCATCTTCCTGGATGCCTAAGCCCCTCTCGCCCCTGTTTCATCACCGCCTCTGCTGTAACCTGTAGCAACCAACGGTGGACCCCCCCACATGCTCTCTATCTCTCTCTCCGTCCCCTTTGTTCCCTCTCCCTCTCGCCCCTGTTTCATCACTGTTGTTGTTGTTGCAACCTGTAGCAGCAATGGCAGACCCCTCTACACAACCCTCTCTATCTTTGTCTCTCTCTCTCTTGCCCCTATTTAATTATCTTGAGCTTAATCCGCCCACCACCAGCACCACCATAGTCCTCCTTGGTAGTTGTGCCACCCTTACTACCATAACTCCACGGAATTGTGAGTGATGACCAAGAGTAAGCATCGCCACCCCACACATCATCTGGAAGACTTATTTATTAAGCAGCAAGCGCCTCTGCCCCCATGCCCTCCACCAGCCCCATCAATACCTTACGAAGTGCCACTTGTTTGAGCAGGGGAGCTCCAACCGAAGCTGTAGTATTGATTTTGGAACCGCCAAGTAGGCTCACGTTGTTTGCTTTCAAAATAAATGTTCCGTCACAATAGATGCATTCTTGCCTAAACTAAAATCTCCACTAATGTTGATGGTAATTGAACATCCAGCAACCAGACAACTGAAGGATTTTTAAACTGCCATTCCCTTCTTTGTAGACATCATCCTCGAGCTGCAAGTCGGTAACGAGCTACAAGTCAGAACTATTAGAAGTAACAACTGCATCTAAATCTTCTCTCTGAATTGTCGGGCCCCTCAATGTCGGTTCACCGCTGCTGCGCCCATTTTCGTTGCAACAGCGGTGGACCAACTGTGACAAGAGAGAGAGAGAGAGAGGGAGAGGAAGAACGAAAGAATAGAGATGCATTTGAGCCGCCGCTGCTAGAAGTTGCAGCTACAGTTCTTTGTTCATCGTCAAGACAGAGATGCATTTGCAGGTCCTAGAAGAGTTCCATTTCTTTGAGTGGCTGAAAATTTGAGAAGAGCAGTGAAACAAGGAGCTCTGCAACTCCCAGATCTTCTTCTTCCTCCACCCCTTTCCCCTCTTCGTTCTCCCTCTCCATCTCTCTGCAAGCTGGTAGATTAGTTAACCTGACTTGCATTCGAATCTAAGGAGCAAAACAAGGAGTTCTTCTCAAAAAAGCTTCCGAAAGAACTTGCAGATTCTAAGTAGAGGTAAACATATTTTTCTTTATGTTATTAAGAGGGTTAATCATCGTTTTCTCTTCACCACATAGGAGCTTCAGGATTTTAATCGACAGATTGGCAAGAGGTGCCAATGGGTCTCTTGAAGAAGAAGGTGAAGAAGGAGAAGAAGGGAAAAGAAGAGAGATGAAAGGTAAAATTGCACTTTTAAAAAAATAATATATCCCATGTGACGAAATACAAAAGTATACTTAATGGTCGTCCGTGAATACGTTCGTCGCCAGAGAAGAGTCATATCAAGCGTCTAGGATTTGGAGGTTTCGAGCGGGAATGGAGAAAAGGGATTTGGCAGGGGAGAGGATAGCTGGCGGGAAGGACGATAGCGTCCATCTCTTTGCTCTCGCACATGGGAAGGTCGGGCGCGTGTTATTGGACACGCGGCACCTCTCATTGCATGTTGGGACGGCACTGGTAGCCATCAAGTTGGTAGCAGATCCGGACCGCCATTTCGCATCTCTCTCTCTCTCTTCGATCGTATATATAACGGCAACAGGCCCCTTTACTAGGGCTTTATTTTCGCTGTTCGCTTTCGTTGCAGAACCTCACCGACCTGAAGATTTGACCATGGGCAGAAGTAAGTATCATGCCACCATCTTTTTTTTTGGCTACTTTTTCAATCCATTCTTACAGATCTTCCTTTTTCTCATCTTCGCCGAATTTGGGTTTTAATTTCCATTGGCTCTTGGTCGATTTTCCGAATCTTTTATCCTCTTTGTAGGTGATCATTTATCTCGGATTCGAATAGAGTACGAAGTGAACTATCTATAAGAATTAGGTTCTTAGATATGGAAGCCGTTGTTTTATTTTTAACCTATCAGGGCTCTCTTCCTTCAGGATATAGCATATTCATGATTCTCCGCTCCTAACCAATTATATATATTTTGATTCTTCTATGGATATTAGCGTTCTTTTGTCCTAGGAACAGATCTCCTTGTGTTTCACCAACTTCTTGATAGCCTCTTTGGTGAAGATTGTGTTTCCAAAGAGGTCAAAGGTGGGGAGGTAGAGAGATCTGCTTGTGGTTTTTGTAGGTAGAGACATCATACCATACGTGGAAGTTTTACAACTCGTGGAGTCTCTGAAATCCTGAACTCTCGATATCTGCTTGTGGATCTGCATGACTGGTTTGTGGTGATGCATGTTGCAAGTTTTGTAGGTCGACACATTAAACTTACGTCAAGGTTCTACAACTTATGAGATTCTAATTGAAAACTGGAATCTTAATATACGTACTTGTAGTTAATGATGCCCTGTAGGTTGGTCTTGAATTGGCATATTTGTGACTTTCTGTACGGTTATTTGCTAATATTTTTGCGGGACAGGATGATAGGGAATAGAGGTTAAGTTTCCATCTTAAGAAGTCATTTTTTCTTGGATTTTTGTAATATAAATAACATAGTTCCCTGAATTAGCAGATTCTGTTATGGTTAAAAAATAATGGGTAGTTATCGATAAAGAAGTATAGGTGGTAAGAAATTGGGGTTATTCTTTGTGGGAGGGGAGGAACGTGCTAGCAAATGTACTTATTCTGAACTAGAACAGGAGAGGATAAGAAGTCTTAAAACTGATTCTTTGGGGCCAATTAACAGAAAGGAAATATGTATTGAAAGGTTTAGAGATGAGAAGTTGAAGATTATTAAGGTAGAATGGTTAATTGCAAATGTATTTTATTGTGAATATGCTGATTGCGTGGAGAACGTGCAGGGTGGGAGTTGTGTTTTTGTGTTTTTTGATGAAGAATTAGGTTTTAAGGGATGAGTGGGCTCAAGGTTCAAGGTTTTTCTAACTACTTTCTGTTGGGCTTAGGTATCAGTAGGGCCGTAGGGGATGATGAGATTTGAAAAGGGTTTCATGTGGGGCTGTGCTTGTGAAGTTGTATTTTCTTTCCTTTTTTCTTGTTAATGAATTTTCATTTTATATACTGTAAAAAATAAGACTGGTTATCCTATTAATAAAAGGGGGATCCACTGTCCCCGTTTTTTTGATGAATGAATAAAAATTTATAAGCCAAATAGATAAGAATTACAAGCAACCCAAGGAAAGGCACGAGATGCGGATCTTCCTTCAAGATTGATCACAGATTCTCAAACTCAATTGGAACATGAATTACATGTAGCCCAAAATAAAGAATCCCGAGAAACTCATTGTTTAGAAAGTGAATCAGCCATCACATTTGCTGATCTGCCCACCAACTGAACTCTAACTGTCATATTCCTTGTTAGCCATTTAGCTTTTTAAAGGAGGTCCCTATAGCTCCAAACCACAAAGTTGGATTCAGCAACCACCCCACAACCACCTGAGAATCACCTTCAATAAGCAAATGCTCTATCCCTATCTGGTTTCCAAGTTGCATTCCTTGTACAACTAGTGGTTTAAAAGTGCAAGGCGCAAAAAAAGCACAAGGGCCAATTTGCGCTTGAGGCACAAGGCGAGGCACAGACCTTTTTAAGCAAGGCATAAATTACAAAAAAAATCTAAAAAAATAAAAAAGTCGGAAAATTTAAAAAAAATGCCAAAAAATTTTAAAAGAATGCAAAAAAAAAAAATAAAAAATATTAAACATAATGTTATTAAAAAATATAAACTTAAATATCTTCTTAAAAGGCAATGAAAGTTATAAAATCATTGAAGCTTTGAGGCAAGCCTGCGTCGCTCGCTCACTGTAGCTCCGAGAACCCCCTATTTGCTAATGTTGTTCATTCATTCATTGCAATAAAATATCTTCTTAAAAAGGCAATGAAAGTTATAAAATCATTATTTTTTATGTGAGAAATAAGAATTTTAGACCCTAACATAGACTTATTCGAGCTTGCCTCAAGGGGCGTGGTCGGGGGTTTGGGGTCTCCGCCACCGACCCAGCCGTTAGACTAAAAAAAAAGCAAAAAGCAAAAAGCGCAAAATTTTAAAAAGGCACATGCTTGAGTTGAGGCGTAAGGCGCATTAGGCGCACCAAGCGTGTGCCTTTTGAAAGGGGTGCACTTAGGACCTGGGCGAGGTGCATACCCCAAAATGTGCCTTGCCTGTGCACCTAGGCACACCTTTTAAATCATTGTGTACAACAACTAGTATCTCAGCCCTTTAGGGTCTCCCAATCCTATTGGGCCTGAAAAAAAAAGATATGATTCTACTACCCTTATTTCTTAGAACTCCTATGCACAAAGGTCCTGGGTTACCTTGGCTACTCCCATCAAAGTTCAACTTAATAACATCCTCCCTAGGTGACATCCACTCTACCATAATTCTGTTCTTCCTAATAGATGTATTAGCCACTGGTAACCATTCTCCTCCAAAGATCATCAAAGGAGTAAGTGTCAAAAAGGTTTAAGGTTTTCATCCATTGAGTTGCCCTTGTTAGAACACAATCCTTAACTTTAGAAAAGCTTCTTTCCTTTTTTTTTTTATCAATAAAAGCTTCTTTCCTTTCCTAAGAAGATTCTGACATTCCTTTCTTCCCAAATGGTCCACAAAAGAGTTGCTATGATACACTTCCATATAATTCTCCCTCTTTGTGTGCCAATCAAAGGTAAGACTGATTAAACAGCATTCTAATATCAGATGGCAAGTTCGACCTACATTCAAACAGCATAGAGATCCATTTCCATAAAGTTGCATCCAAGGACAAGAATAAGTGGTAATAGTCCTCATTCTAAGCTTTACAAATTACAAAGAACAGAAGTAGGGCCGAGGGGATTTAAAAAAAGAGGAGCAAGTAAAGGTACTTTTTAGAAAAGGGGTCTAGACTCTTAAGTCAAGTTTGACGGGATCCAAGAAAATAGACTCAAGTGACAATAACAATTTAGAAACACAAGCAAATTCGTCATCCTGTAACCCTCCATGGAAACCGAAATTCTAGTTTAATGACAAAGGAAGAATCAGAGAACAAAGAAACTTATAAATCAACTTTTTTTTAAAGGAAAAGAGAAAAGAGAAAAGAGAGGGAAAATGGTTTATAAGAGGTTAGTTGTCCATCCAAATGTTTTCTCAAAAAAGAACATTATTTCCAAAGTAGACATCATATCATACCAATATGAGGAAATGAAGAAGGATCCCATGTGTATGTAAGAGTCACCCATTGAGATACCTTAGCATTCCAACCATTCTCTAGCCATGAATGCTAGTCACCACCTTGTGCCACAACCTCTCTCCAAAGAATTTATAAAAAAACCTTTCTCTCCAAAGGCCATCCCCATAACCACTTCCCTAGTAAAGCTTCATTCTTATGAACTAGGTTTCCTAATCCTAGACCCATATTTTCCTTACTTTTGCTAACTATCTCCCACCTAAGCAAATGATCCTTCTTTACTTCTTCGTTTTCAACAAAAAGTCTCTCATCATCTTTTCTAACTTAACTTGCCTTGGAGGTATCCTTAACACCTGGAGGAGATAAATTAGAAGATTGGCATGTGTAGCCCTAATCAAGGTCACTCTACCCCCCAAGGAGATGTAATTCTTTTTCCAAGTTGCCAGTCTCTTTTCAAATTGTTCCACAATTGGATACTAGAAGCGGCTATCTTTTGGCTTTAGTACCTAAAGGAAGAGCTAGTTAGGTGAAGAGTCAAGGGGATGTGGAACGGTCCAAGCAATTGCAATAGCCTCTACCTCTAGATCCTCCAAATTGGTTCCAACCACAACATTTTTCAAAATTAAGTGTCAAATTGGAGGCACACTCAAAGGAGTTTATAAGATTCTTAAGATTTTTCACCATCCAAAGGTCACTCCCCTCATAGACAAATTGAAGATGGGTCACCAGAACACTATTCTTGCCTATCCTCTAACCACTTATTAAATCCTCCCTATCCACTTAAGAAATCATTTTACTAAACACATCCCCCACAAGTTTAAACAGGAAAGGTGAGAGTGGATTACGTTGTCTTAACCCTATACAAGTTGGGGAAAAATCCTTGACCACTCCATTAACTAAAACTAAATAATGACAAGAAGTTAGGCTTCCATTCACCCAATTGCACCACTTATCCCCAAACTCGCACCTTCTTAACACTTGAAGCTCCAAATCTCCAATCTACCAAGTCGTAGACCTTCTCAATATCTAACTTGCAAACAAAGCCTTTATTGCTCAAACAACCAATGACATGTTTGTTCTCAATCTTTGGGATGTCTTCTTTAATGACATTCTACAATCATGAAAGAAGTTGTGAAGCCATTTGGTCCAAGAGCCTTAGATCTATCCATGGAAAAGACAACTTGTCTTATCTCCTCTTCTTTAAAGTTTCTTTCCATCCATCCCCATCTGAATCATTTAAACTTGGCCACTCCAAATCCTCCACTCTCAATCAACTCTCCAGAGGTCTTTTTAGAATTGGTTTGAAATGGGCTACAAAACAACTAGCCATCTCTTTTTTTCTTTTGATCAATACTAGCCATCTCCTCTTGAGAATCAATTTCTACTCCATCAACTTCATTTTTAGCCACAAAATTTGTTCTTCTCCCATTGGCCACAACATTAAAGAACTTGGTTATCCCATCTCCTTAAATCCATTTATACCTAGATTTTTGTCTCAAAGAAATCTCCTCTCTCGAAATGACCTCTTCTAATTCTTTCTTCCAACTTCCATCTCAATTCTCTTTCCTGTGCACTAATAATCCTTTGAGACTCCTTTCAATCTAAATCCTCAATTTGGGTTGACAAAAGTGGCTTTTAACTCCTCCAGTCTTCCGAATTGCTTCCTATGCCAATCTTTTTATTTGGATTTCAATCTCTTTAATTTTTTGTGGAACACTTCACATCCCTCAACAGAAGGTGGTTTGAGTCCCAAAGGGACCATTACTTGCTATGGTAAACTCTTGTGCTCTCAAGCATGAGAAGGTGGTTTGAGTCTGAGAGGAGCTACTTTGTGCAAAAAAAAAAAAAGCCCAAGGTTAGGACTGTATCCAGTCCACTCCTCCTAAAGCCCCACATAGTTGGGACTCAAACCAACATTGGGTAATGGCCATTCCAGTGCATAGGCCTAGTTTCTTCCTTGGACATATGGTACATTTTTTTGATAGCAAGAAGAAAATATCATAAGATACAAATTCCTACTTGGATTTCTTTATCTATAATCATATTTATCTCTGCCTTTTTATCTGAAATTGTAGTTTTATTAAACATAATATCTTTGTCAACACCTTATTTTTATTAAGCTAGCTTTAAGCATTCTTCAATCTAATCCCAAAATCTCCCTCAACTTCATCAGGATCCCTTCTATTTGGTATGGTTCTGTAACTCCTTTTCCTGATCAAAGGTTCTATCCTTAAGATGAAAACACTGCTTTGCATGCAGTGTCTGCCCTTCATTTTGCACCTGTTTTAGGATTCTCATCTGTCTTATAGCCATTCATCTCCTCAAGTGCATTTCTTCTTGGTTGCTTCATCTCCTCAAGTGCATTTCTTCTTGGTTGCCTTTAGGATATGACACAATACCCAATATCACCCCTAGCCTCTCTGTGTCTGCAGGGGTAAGGTTGCATACATCTATTCCTCCCCAGACCTTGCATTGGCGGGAGCCTCCTCGTGCACTGGGTTACCCTATGTTGATACCTTTATCCTCTGATAGATATTCTTTAACTGTTAATGCCAAACTCCCTTGTTTAGCTTGTATTGATAGAACCCCCATCATCATTCCTAGTTCTACCCATCTCCATGCATAATCTATCAATATTTATATCAAAATAACCTTTGCGATCTAGGTTTTGATACCCTGACTGTTGCACATTGATAATTTATATCAAAATAACCTTTGGCACTAATGTTACACAATAAATTGAAGACTTTTATCATTGATAATTGATTGGTCTTCTATCTTTCTATCCTCTTGTCAGTCTATATTTTATAAGAGCCCTATGTTACAGTTAGGAGATTTGCAATGCTTGAATTATGAATGAAGTTTATTTTTCTATTGTATTATTTCCTTTTCCTTTTCCTTTTCGTTTTCGTTTTTAAGTATATAGTCACACTATGCATCTTAAACATTATCTTAGAAAAAAAATCATATTACCATCTAATTTCTTCTTCACATTAAAATCCATTTAAATGATCTTTAGTAGAATTTCTAGGTGTATGCTGAGGAAGAACTTGTCTTTTTAATTAATAGTCAGAAAAAAGATATAGTAATATTTTGTTTCTGAATGCAATGCATATTTGTAATGGCAAATTGATTGAATTAGCTTATTTCTGCCCATATAGGACCAGCAAGGTGTTATAGACAGATAAAAAACAAACCATACCCAAAGTCACGGTATTGTCGTGGTGTTCCTGATCCAAAGATCAGGATATATGATGTGGGAATGAAGAGGAAGGGAGTAGATGAGTTCCCCTTCTGTGTCCACTTGGTGAGTTGGGAAAAGGAGAATGTCTCAAGTGAAGCTCTGGAAGCTGCTCGGATTGCATGCAACAAGTATATGACAAAGTATGCTGGCAAAGATGCTTTCCATTTGAGAGTCAGGGTGCATCCTTTCCATGTTTTGCGGATCAACAAAATGCTTTCATGTGCTGGGGCTGATAGACTCCAGACTGGAATGAGGGGTGCATTTGGGAAGCCACAAGGTACTTGTGCAAGAGTGGCCATTGGTCAAGTCCTTCTGTCTGTTCGCTGCAAGGATAGCAACAGCAGTCATGCTCAAGAGGCCCTCCGTCGTGCCAAATTTAAGTTCCCTGGTCGCCAAAAGATCATTGTCAGCAGGAAGTGGTAAGCATACATTCTTTTTGCATAGTTGTTTAATGCACTGTATTTGCGTCTCTTAAGTGTTGCATTTCCTTTCAACATGCATAAATCCCTGGATTAAATTAGATTTTGGTGGTATCAGGGCATTTGGTTGCCATTGCATTTGAGGCACAATCAGGAACACAACTCCTTTATTCAATGTTTGAAAAACGTGTTTATAAAAGCATATGCTGACTAGGCAAATATTTTTCAATAGTTTTTTTTTCTTGCAAAAACAATAAAACATTTAGAAGCTAAGCTCCTTTTTCAATTCACCAATATGTCACCTTTCTAGGGAGCATTATTGTAAGGCCCTAGAGTGTAGAAATGTCAATTTGATGATTCTACAATCGTTAGGGTTGCAATTCGGTCGGGCAGACTGGTCCAAGTTTATGGTCAACATAGGCCCAACTCTAAGAATTGGGCCCAAGGCCTGTGCCTGGACCAAAGCCTGAGACCAAGCCTTATCTACTAAACTAAGGCTCGTCTCAAACTAAATATTTGCACACGGGGGTTGGGCTAGGTTGGTCAGGTAGGTTCAGACAGGCTTATTGGGCTTAATTTGTTAAAAAATGCCCCTAAACCTATTTATCATCGGTAATATAAACCATTAGATTGCTATATTGTCATGCCAGGTATGGGCCATGCTAGGGATAGTCTAGGTTCAGGACAGGCTGGAGCCAAGTTTCAAAGTATC